CTAAAAAAGATAACATTGTCTATATTAGTACACCTTTATTTAGACACCTGATGGTGAACAGTAAATGATGAAAATCTTACTTTTGCAAAGCCATCTCCTTCTGCTGATACAGTTCATTCAGAATCTCTACTTTCTGCCTCAGGGTTCTGCACTCATCTTCCAGTCCATCTTTGGCAGATTGCAGTAAGTAGCGGTCATCTTCCAATTTCTTTATCTGGTCTGTAAAGGGTAAAACATTTGAGCTCTACATGTGTGCACAAGAACTTGGGAACTTGGTTGGGGGTTTGGTGCTGAGAGGAGTGAGAAGTATGAAAGCGGGAAACCACTCTTTATCTATCTAATGCAATTTTGGATCTTACCAACACATAGCAATTTCTTCTCAAGAAGTAACCTACCTTCCAGGTTACATTTAGTGGACATGGAGGCTCTTAGCTTAAGTTGTAAACATTTTAGATCCTCTTCAACTACCGATATTGCAGTGTGTGTCTAAATATTACAGAAGAGAGAAGTATTCATATAAGTGAGACATGGTAAAAGCATTCACAGGCACTTATGGGACTCTAAAAAAGGACTATACCCGACAGACATCCATCATCTGCTTAATTTGATTTTTCATCTTCTCATTCCGGTCACCTAAAAAACAAAAGACTTTCATTGCTTTTTCTTCCCTTGCATTTTAAATCTGTATTTTCTTGATTTATGCAAAACTAAACAATTGTCATGTTCAAACATTTAAAGAACCAAAAAAAAAAAATAGAATAGGATTAGACTGACTTTTTAGAGAACTGCAAACCTAGATCCAAAAAGTGAATTACCATTTGCACAATAAACATGTTATACAGGCCATTCTTGAGCAAGAAGAAACATGTGAGATAAAGCTCTGTCTTCTATCTCGGATCTATCTCCACCTGGGCTTAGTAAGTGTCTCATTCAGAAAGATTCCCTCCTATTCTCTTCCAGAATCTGCTATCAGGTGTGGTTTAAAACGCTGACTATGTAAGCAATATCCAACTTGAGAGACAACATCTGAAACACTTTCCTCATCAGTAAACACTACTACCCTATAGCTTCCACTCTCATGGCCTTGGTTTCTGGATCCAACCACCTCAGTACTCTTTAAACCAGTTGTGCTTTTCTCTCACAGCCTTAGTTTATGCCTCCAATCACCTCAGTACTCTTAAAACCAGTGGTGGGCCTTAAAACCAAACAGCACCTGAGATGACGAGTTTTAAAATGTTATCTCCATTCAATTGAGAAATGCAGTTTCTATTACTGTATATGTTCAATACTTAAAGTTGTGAGATATGACCAGTGCAGCTCCCGTGCACCCTTCTAGTCTCAAGGAGATGTAAAAACAAAGTCAGTGTTCCTTGCATGCTCATTGCTACGCCATACCCTAGCAATCCACCTCTGCCCAATGCAAATAGACATATACACAAATCCAGTGATATGTGTTAACATCTCTAAAGCTTAAGAGGAAATGCAACCAGATGAAAAGTAGCATTAGTGTACTTAAAGATAGGAAGGGAAAAGGGGTCCATCCTCCTTGAGACTGATTTTACCTGCCACTTCTCCATTTGCTAAATCATCTGAATCATTTCCTCCTTTATTTTGACCCTCAGATTCAGATTCACACCGCAATTGATTCAACTGTGTAATGCAATTAGTCAAAGCCTAGAAAAGAAGCAAAAGGGCATTAAGAGTCTTTCCATTTTAGTTCAATGGATTTCATGATAATTCACAAGAATTAAGCTTGTATTCATGAGAATGTACTTACATTAATATTGTCATCCTTGTGAGTAAGAGCTACTTCCAAATCTTTCTGAGACTTCTCAAATGATTTGATTTGCTCACTGAGCTGGGCATGTAATTTACTCCAGTCGTCAATTTCCTGCTGCAACTGAAAAGTTAAACCAGGATTCCCACAGGTTAGGGCTTTTGCACTGGGGACAAGACCAAGTGAATGAGACAGGGAGGTAAGGAGCCATGCCTCTCCTTAGCCTATCACTATGGGGTAAGACCTTGGTTAAATGGGAAGAGAAAGTGACCCAAATCCTCAGAGCTATAGTGAGAACATCAGAGCTGAAAAGGAAATTGATCTCGTTTATTGCATCCTCCAGTAAATTATAGCCAATTCAAATAATTCACTTCCAGAAGGAACTGAAGGGCTCATTCTACTATCTCTCAAGTCTAGACTCCTGATCATGTAATCTTCCCTTGGCTAGTGAAGCAGTAACTACTAAAAGGAGGGTGATAAAATATCTAATTCTTAGGTCTAAAAAGTCAATCTATTACCCACTTAAGGCTACTCAAGTTAATAGTAATTGGTGTTTGACAAAACAAGACTAAATACTCTGATGGGCAAAATAAATTGTACAGAACAGAAAATCCAGAACAGACAGAAAGTGTATACCTATACTCAATTTTGGAAGTATAGTTTAAACTGTATATCTAAGAACAGAATCCTGCATGTACATTACCTTAAAACTAGATCTGAAAAAAGGTATTCATGTGTTATGATACTGGATTCTCTATTTTACATGATCCGGGCATGTACTTTCCTTTACCTGCTCTTTTTTCTTCTTAAGCCTAACATTTTCTTCTTGAACCCGATGGTATTCAGACTTCACTTTCTCTTCACTAAGCTTAGCTTCATTAAGTGCAATTTGAACCTAATGCAAAACACTCCTATTAGTGAATTAATTGAAAAGAAAACCAAAAAAAAAGTTATTTTCCCAAACCAACATCACTTAGTTTTCATTTTTTGCACATTTTAGCACGTATCAAATTTTTGCTCCTCAATAAAACTATGATATAGTTTTAATGTCCTGCAGGAATTATAGTCAGCTTTACCTCTGAAAATTCTGAAGCATTCATGGAAATAACATCTTTTAACTTCTCTATAGATTTCTTGTTTTCTGATATCTGCCATGTAAAAACAGAACACAAAATGCATATAAGGATTTCAGTAGAAACACTGGGATATACACTAAAAAGAGGAAACATCAATGAAGTAAATCTCAGAGCCATCCTTTGTTTCAGGTAAAAGCAGGTTTTTCAGTTTAGCCCTAGGCAAAAATCAAGAACTTAAAGAGGTAAATGAAAATAATCAAAGGCGTAAATATTTCATGGAATACACAACCTTCCTTGTTAGAATAAAATGTGGTAGGTGGCAAGACTAAAAGATGAAAGAAAAGAAACTGAGAAAACTTTCAAGTTAACCAGTTCAAATCAATGTGTTTTTTTTTTCCCCTTGGGGCAAGAGAGAAAAAAAAATCCCCAAGGTACTTTAAAAATTTTCTTGCCTAAATTAAAAAATGGTAGAATTGGAGTGAGAATAGACAGATCATGCATATACAAGAATTCCAAATGATTTATGAAGATCCTGGCTCCTCAAGGGGATGGAGTGTAATCCTTCACTTTTTAACTGTGGGCTGTGTTACTAACTTCCTTCCAAAGAGTACAATAACGCAAAAGGTAGAAAAAAAAAAAAAAAGCAATTTTACAGTGAAGAAACCTGGCAATACTAAGCTCAGTCAGGCCATCAAGATTAATAGGATGTGGGATTTATGGGAACCCTCTTTACTATCTTTGCAATTTTTATGTCATTCTGAAACTCTTCTATTAATAAAGTAAAATGCTTATAGTGAAAAAAAACTTTGCAAAACAAAACAAAACAAAGGACTGTTCAACTGGGTTGTGGTTTCTTAATTGCTCCACATGTTTTGGAGGGCAGAGCCAAGCAATCAACAATTACCTAGGGTTGAGAACCAAAATACTTCCTAGGCCCATAAGAGTAACTTCTTGTGTAAGTACTTAAAATCCCACAAAAACGGACAGAAGTAGTTCAACTTCCCTGACTCACACTCTTACTTCACAGAACACTATGGAAAAATAAAAAGTTCAAATCCATCTACAGAGTTCAAAAACAAAATTATTAGTAACACTTAGCAGCAAAACTCTTACCAAATCCTGATTCTTGACATTCTGTTCTCTCTCAGATTCTAACATAACACGAAGATTTTTAGCTGTGTCACCCAGAATTTCATTATTTTTTTCAAGTGTCTTGATTTTATCCTACAAAAAAGATGTTAAGTTTAGTTATATTCATTAATTTTTACTTTTGTTTTAAAATGTAATCCCCAAAAGAAGTTTTTACCTTAAATTTAATTGCTTCATCAGAGAGAATCATATTTTGTTTCCTGGTTTCTTGAACATGTTTATTTGATTCCTTGATCTGCAAAAAATAAAGCATTCAGAATCCAGAAATACAAAGTATTGTGCTATTGGAATTTACTTTGGAGTGACTGACCTCTTATAGAAGAAAACAGTACTTTACACACATGATTGATTAAGCTCTGGATTGTTTATAGGAATTAATGGAATAATAAATATTATTTTAAAATACCATAGTAACTGAACAATAAGACAGGTGAAAATAATTCAAGCTGGGACCAGGGGAAAAAAAAAGAATAATTATACCTTCTGTTCATAATTTGACAATTTCTGTACAAGTTCTGTATTTTCTTTCCTAATAATCTTCAACTTCTCAGAAATCTGCTGTTCAGTGACTGAAAAAAGAAAATATATAAGGTTATTATGATCACTAAATGAAACTGAATGACCCAATGTATCGGCAGAAAGACATGTTATCTGGCACTATGAGGAAAAAGGACTTCTTGACATAACTATTATGGTTTTGAAATGTGATATGGTTTGGATTGTGTCCCCACCAAATCTCAAGTCAAATTATAGTCCCCAGTGTTGCAGGTGGGGCCTGGTGGGAGGTGATTGGATCATAGGGGTGATTTCTCATGAGTGGTTTATCACCATCCCTGTGGTGCTGTTCTTGTGACAGTGACTGAGTTCTTGTGGAGTCAGGTTGTTTAAAAGTGTGCAGCATCTCCCCGCTCACTCTCTGTTGCTCCTGCTTCTGCCATGTAAGACGGCCTGCTCTTGCTTTACCTCCTGCTATGGGTGATATCTCTCCGAGGCCTCCCCAGAAGCAGATGCCACTATGCTTCCTGTATAGCCTGCAGAATTATGAGCTAATTAAACCTCTTTCTCATAAATTACTCAGTCTCAGGTATTTCTTTTTTTGAGACAGGGTCTCGGTCTATTGCCCAGGCTGGAGTTCAGTGGCACAATCTCAGCTCACTGCAAACTCCACCTCCCAAGCTCAAGCAATTCTCCTGTCTCAGCCTCCCAAGTACCTGAGACCACAGGTGCTTGCCACCACACCTGGCTAATTTTTGTATTTTTTAAAATAGAGATGAGTTTCTCCATGTTGTCCAGGCTGGTCTCAAACTCCTGAGCCGAAGCAATCCTCCTGCCCTGGCCTCCCAAAGTGTTGGGATTACAGGCATGAGCCATCACACCTGGCCTTGGGTATTTCTTTACAGCAGTGTGAGAACAGATTAATACAAAAAGCAATCTTCTAATAGGAATAAGAATGTAAAAATATTGTTACAATTTAAGAAAAATATAATAAGAAACTTTATTTCAATGAGAGTCTAAGTTAAGTTTATTTCCAAGATGGGAAACCCGGTAAAATGTTATAGGTCAATATTCCTCCCTGCATGAAGCATTTTTTTTTTCTCAGAAGATGGCATCACTTCAAATATGTCATTTTCAAAGAGAAAAAGAAAATGCAAGCATGCTGATTTATATTTCTAGTCCTGAAATTATCTACTTAAATAAATGGTTAATGTACTAAATCACTAACACGGAAAACCTGGTCACATGTAATAAACTAGTACATCAATATTTAAGGTAAATCTGCCCCCAATGAAACTAATCTTCTCCCTACTCCCACAATTTGTTCCTCCTCATCTCCTATCTCAGTTGGTAGCATCATCATTTATTCTATCATCGAAGCTAGCAACCTAAGAATAGGAAAGTGTTCAGAAGCTGTAAGTCAGTCAGACATCAGAAGTCACTAAAACTACTTACATATAAAAGCCATATCGAACACCAGTACAGAGGGCATAGTACAAATAACAAAACAAGCCTAAAGATTTACCTTGATATACTCTACTCTTTACCTAGAAAAGAGAAATAAAAATTAAATTGTATGTCAAACATTTCATTAATAGGTGTATATAGTTCCTAACACAACAGTTGGAATTATAACCAAATGGGAATTTAATAACAGTTTGCTTTAGCATAATACATCCACAAGATTAAAAAAATTAAAAAGGTTAAAAGCATGTCAAATTCAACCAGTAGTGATATGCTGCAGTCTGACAGATAAAGCACTAAGACAAATACCTTGCTCTGCAGCTAAATGTATGTTTACATATCTAAATGAACAGCAGTCTTATGAAATGAGCACTTAACTTGAATAACAGAAATGGCTAATATTTTTATAATAAATATATTAACATTTTATTTACTCAAAGTCACCTATTTGACAACTCCAAAGAGCCAGAATGAAATCTAAAAACATTGACCACTCAAAAAGACTCTGAGGAGACAAAATTAAAGGTATAATCTTCATACTAAGATACACCTCTTTTGCTTTCCAGAAAATATCTCAGAAATCCTATTCAAAGTTGACTACTGGCTGAACTTAGAAACAATTCTATTAACACTAAGGTAGATCATTTGACTTTCTTAGGCCACTAAAAACAGTGCTCATGAACCTGACAGGGAAGGGAAGATTGCTAGAGGAAAATGCTCAAGCAACAAGAGAATGACAACTATCATCTTTCTGAAAGGGCAAAACCCAAATCATCCCCCAAAGACAGCACTAAATTATGGGACAATAAAAGCCAAGCAGTAAGGAATTTTTAAAAAAGAATATTACTAAATTTCTTTGCAACCCAGAACATATTTATCCCTTTCAAATGTTATAAATGGTGATGAAATACTAACACCAGTTCACAAATCACCCATAATAATCTCACTAAATTAATATACTGTTTACATAATACACTCTATAATATACTGTTATTATATATAGTCATTAATATACTGTATACATAATAATTACAGTATCTAAATCTCCCTTAAAATACTATTATTATAGGAATATGCATTCAGAAATTTCCAACATGGAAAAAACATTACTATCTCTCTAACGGCCTTGCTAATGAGAGTAAACTTCCTGTGCTCCATTTCACCCAGACTAACAGGCAAGCAGAGGCCAAGGTTCCAAAACTCAAATGCTGAGGCTGAGGAACAGCAGTTAGGACAGAGAGCCTATATAACTTTCTGAAAAACAAAAAAGGTGTTAGATATTTTTATTAACAAATAGGAGAAACAAGAATGGGGAATGTAAAATGTTTTCACTTTTTCCCCTTCCATTTACCCTTTGATCCTCCCTTTTGATCTGAGAAA